CTCAAGTTCTGATTTTATATCTTTAACATCTTTCCAAAAATCACCAGCATCTGAGCATGATAATTTTTCCCAATTTTTGTATTCTTTACATGATTTTTCATATTCCTCAAATGTTTTAGGAATTAGCTTAGTAGCTAAAATTTCAACTGTTAAAGGTGTGGTTTCATCTTTTTTTAAGATCAACTCGAAAATGTTTTTAAAGGTTTGGGAGTTTCTATATCTATAAACAGATTCTGCAACTTTTGAGATTTTATCATGGTATGCCCAATGATCAGGTTGTAAAATATCATTAAATTTAATTTTTGTTAAAGATTTCATTTTCTCTTCCAAATTATTAATATAATCATGTACATCAGTTACTTTTTCACTTTGACAAAATCCAATATAGAATGTGCTAAGACAATCCAACCTATGTTCATAATTTTTGCTTTCTTTTTTAACATTATCTAGTATGGTTTTTGTCATAATAACTGATGAACCAAATTTTTTATCAGTAGCTGCAGAATTGAAAATTCGAATAAAATTTTCATCATTGTTGACAATTAATTTTTTCAATAATGTGAAATTAATATTTCCATCTGAAATTAGTTCTGCTAAATCATTAATTGATTGTTTATAATGTAAAACTAGTTCATGTGAATGTAAATGTTCAATTGACCCAGTTGCATTAAATATCATTACCCAAAATTCTTTAGATTGAAATAAATTGACATAATATTCAGAGTCATTATTTAAAGTATTTTGACCTTGTAATTTTTTCATTATAAAGATCATTATAAGTTCACATAATTGATTTGGGATGTTGAGTTTTTTATCACCTTTTTTACATCCACAAATTTCTCGAATCTTTTGAATTAATTGTTGGTTGGGACTTATTGATGATTTTTCTAAAGTTTCTTTCACCACAAGAAAATATCTTGTATAAATTTGTTCTGGAAATTTAGCAATTGAACATGTTGCTTTATAAATAGCATTTTCTGATGATTGACTTACTCTTTTGACTGCACAATCTACCAAAGAATTAAAAATATTGATCCTAACACCAATTGTAGGATAAATATCATGTAAGATACTAAATACAATTGTGATAAATTTATCTTCATTAGAATACATTGCTTTGTTTTGATGAGTAACATCTATAATTTGTTCAAACCATTGATTACAAATTTGCAAAATTTTTGATTGTTTGATGTTGTTAAAAGTTTTAAAACAGTGTTCCAATGGTTCAGGAAAAGCTTGTAATAAAGACAAATCTGTTGATTTAGAAATATTATCAAGTGCATCAAGAAATTCTTCTTTGTCCCATTTAAATCGTTGCAAAAAAAACATTATAGATTTAATCTGCTCACTTCCCCATTGTTTTCTTGAATTTTTCAACATGCTTAAACATTTTTGAGAAAATATTCCAAAATGTTTATTTTGCATTTCTTCAGGAAGAGCTATGATTTGTTGATACAATTGATATGGGTTATCTTGAGAAAGATTATTTTTGATATTGTCAAAGAATATTTGTCGAAGTCTGTCTGTTCTGTGAATAATTATATCATCCCACATTGTTAATAAAGCTGGCATACTATTACATAATTGTAAGAAGCACTATATATAATTATTTATAAATAAATAAAAAAACCAGAATTAACACAAGATTTTATTTATGATATTAATATATGTATATATATATATATATATATGTTGTACGTGAAAATGAAATTTTAATAATAATTACCTCAGCTATTTTCACATAAATATCTATATCCTCAATATTATCAATATATGGTTTGACATGTTCCTCAACATTTTTAATAAACAACTCCATACCTCTTGATTTATATTTTCCATCAAGAAGAACATCAAGAAAGCCATGTTTTGGATCAATAACATTAGCAACAGAAAATATTTTCAACCATTCAAATGAACCATTGATAAAATTATGTCTGATTAAAAGATTAACTGCTTGTTTTATAATATCATTAGTGTTT